GGTCGAAGATCGAACTAAGGAGCAGCATATCTACATCGATATTTATCGCGTTGTCCCCTATGCTCTAGGTCTTTAGGTGGTCAATTTAGTTATTGTGCTTTTTGGTAGGGGGCGTAAGATATCCGGAACGAATCATCGTGCAGTCTATCCCCAAAAACTTTCGAGCGACCTCACCCGAGTACGACATCCGACTTGGTTGTACAGCATGATGCAAATCCCAGCTTGGTCGCGGTGGAGATAGTAGAAAGATGATAGATGCCTACTCATGGCCGGCTCTAGGCCCACCATGCAACCTAATGAGAGCTGGTCCAGACTCCAGGTTGGTAGTCTGAGTTGCATAGAATAGCCCAAGGCTTTAACCATGCTTTGCATGAGAATTTCGCTCCGGCTTCTCACAGCTTCGTTTTCGTAGACTGGCCGCATTTGGGCAAAGCCCCGCTGAACTTCACAGTTCTAGGCGAGCCAAGCGACCACTGGGAGTAATCAAGAAACTGACGTCACTATTCTTCTTAAGAAAGGAGAGGATGCCGAGGCATGAGGTAATTTTTAGGAGCATATGGGTTCCTGTATAGTACCTATCACACAATATATAGTATTCTCTCAGCTCCTATCAAATATAACGGGCAATAGCTACGAGTAACGAATCATACTCTGATTATCCGGTGACGTTATTAAGTGTCATTGTAGGACCTGTAATACACACTGTTTTAATTCTACATGTATTAATGTTGATTAAACTACGCTTCACACCTAATAGGCTGCTCGAGAAGGCCAGCTTGAGTGGGGTTGGGTGGTGCACCTGTAGGCTGTCAGACCTGTATTAATATGCTGTACTGCGTACTACTAATACAGGCGCATATTTGCCACCCATGAGTCTTGCACGAGAGTATTTATTTATAATAAACGAAAGAGGCAACTACGGGATGCTGTGCAGATAATTGGGGTTTGAAATATGACTTACTGGACCCGTCTATCCTCTTGGACTCGACGTCCGGTTATTGATCAGAATTAACTCGCTGAAAGGCGTGATGTTGAGGTATGTCTGTCGTGAAGCCCCAAGTAGTATATAGTACAACAGAGAGGGGGGCTTATTACGTTCGTCAACAAAGTTGATGATAGAGAGCTCGGAGGCCCTAAAGGGTATTGATATTAAATATTATCACTATATAAGGAGAGAGGTAATTACTCCCCAAGTATTATTAGGGAAGCATTCAGAAATCAATACAATCAAACCTCAACCCCTACTAGTAGCCTATCTATGATCTAACATCCTCACTCTAAAGACATTACCTGACATATCACTTCTTAAAATGATACAAATGTTAACAGAAGGACTGAAAATGGGTGATTCCTCTCTATATCCCTGGATATGTATTTGAGCTTATATCCAGCTGTAATTACGGCTCTTGGTTCATAATACCTGTCATCACTTAGAAATATAATTATAGGAGACCAAACTCAATGGGACGTATTACATAAAAATTAATTACGTTTGGCAGCCATTATATAGTTTATACTAGCCTTCCATCACCAAGTATTTTAGATCTAGCTCATAAAGTGGATAATGTTTAATCCTAGGGGACACTCAATAGTGTCTGTAAAGCTTGAAGCCGTTATATTATCCTGTCACTAATTCTGTATTCTATACGTCGCAATGTTTCAGGACTACGTGAGTTTTATAATTAAATGATCTTCTAGGGTAAGTAATGTGATAATCATCGAGCTCCTTTATGTTCTAAGACACTTTTAAGATACCTGTGTATCCTAACTGGCTAGCTTCCACTATCCTAAATATAGGGTCAAAGCTGCGACAGCAACTTTAATCGACGACCTTGTCAAAAAAATTTGCGACTAAGGGTTGCTCCATTTTTGGAGCCCAGGACCTCGAGACCTGTAGACTTCCATACCAACTCTTCAATGTTTGTAAGAAGTGTATATAGCATCCCTAACTAATAATTCTGTTTCGAGTTGTATTTGGAAAGTCACTAGGTAATTGTATCTCCAAATAACGTATAGTTTAAGACAAATTTACAAATACATTCAATTGCAGCGTCTTCTTAAACGAACAGGTATAGCAGCTTCGGATTAAGGGTCGTTAGATATAATGAAAGATTATCTCCTGGATTGAGTTAATTAGAGCTATGTTCAGAGGCTGCCAAAATACTTACGGGTACTAAGAAGCTGCAAACAATGCAACGTTTGTTGTTTCCATTCTTCGAAAGCTATTTTCATCACTAGTTTTCATGTCGCTAGTGTTGTATGTTTGTCAGCTTTGAAGACTGTTGTTTGTTAAGGCAAACTTAAAAATTCGAGGTTTTCTGCAAATATATATTCACCCTTGTACCTCCACCTTCTTCTACAAACTACCACAACCTCGAAGGCGATAAGGTAAGTTTGACTATAGTAAACGGGGCCCTAAATGGCATAGACTAAATCAGACTATTTATTTCGGACGACCTCCGTAACTACAACAACATTACTTCATCTTGAGTACCTCTTCAAAAACTGGCCACCTTTACTCCTAATTTCAGCAAGAAACAGATCTGGATTGTCGTTCACCGGCACCGAAAGCATCAACATGACGTTAATTCCCACACCCACTTCACCTACAAGAAGTAATACGGAAATTCGCAGTTCTACCCAATGCCCACCCTTGCCCCTAGACACACTATTGCCACTGCCCGTCACGACGCTAAGTGCTACATCATGGAGGACAGCATATCCTCAGATTGGCCAGTTCGCCGTGACTGAATCGGAGGAGGTCGTGGCGGCCGGCCCTGACGGCCTCTTCTACTTCAAGCGAGTACAGGACCACGCTTCCAGGCCTTGGACTGAACCCCGGCCGCTTCCCAATACGATGGCAATGCTAAATGATTCATCCGTGTCGGGCCTAGCGATACACGTGAGTGAGCTCTTGAGAGAGGCCTCGGCGAAGCCACGATTAGACGTGTACTGTGTCTCGGGTGGTGTGTTGCACAACTTTTGTCGCTCTGGAGAGCCTGGTTCTTGGTTTGTCGCGAATCCCCGGCCCCCTTTGCCAGATTACGTTGTAAATGGCACGCCTAGTATTGTCACGGCCTATGACAGCTATAGAGGTCTACGAAAATGCAGCTTAGTCGTTCCTTGCCTGTCGGGTGGTCTACTGCACACTTCGGGAACTAGTCCTTCGGCTTCGAGTCTTAGATCTTCTAAAAACCCAGAAGCTTCCGAAGCGCTAGAATGGGAGCCAGCAGATCTGATCGCTACAGAGTTGGGTTTCATCTCGGCTGTCTCTATCGCTGCGACACGCACGAGGGGGGCTGGATTCGCGGACAAAGACATCGTAGCGGTCTGCATTGCAGGCGCCCGATTGCACACTGTCGAGGGAAGGCTCATGGAAGAACCAGGATGTCAATCCAGATCCGTGAAATGGAAGCCGCAAAAGCCAGCCAAGATTCATCACCCTGGCGAAGTGATAGGAAACCCGGTGCTCCTCAAGACTAGGTCATCGGCAAATTTGGATCTCTTGGTGCCGTCGGCAGAGGGAGGTGTTTTCCACTTCATCCGAACGTCATCTACCCCCGACGAATGGCACATGATTGCACGTGTCGCATTTCCTCAGAATCTTCCTCCAGTGTCCTGTTTAGCACTCGTTCATTTCCGTAGCTATTGTCATCAAGAAGACAAGTTCAGCGCCGTTGTACAGAGCAGCGGCCGGCTTTACCAGATGAAAACGGATGAAGGTGCCAATCCATGGTCTGGATCCCGTCTAAAGCCGATAATGGCACCGGGGCCGGCGCCCTCTGATTAAAGCGTCCGTTTATCGAGATTCGAGATCACTACACCTCTACTCGGCGTCAGGTGATAAAGTGACCAGACCCTCTAGGTCCTAGGGTGGTTATATCTATGGTTTGGGCGCTATATGTAGGACCCTAGGGACCTAGAGAACCAAGGATCAATCAGTCTTTCTATTTAAGCCTTAGGGGATATACTACTTACACCCTTCTTCCTAGCTACTCGCAGGCCTCCTACTCACTCCGGACAAAACCCCCTGGCACTCGGCTCTGTGGGGAGCCTGAGACATCCGAAGCAACCTGGTGGTACTCCTAATGGAAACGACTTTAAAGGGTAGTGAAAACCCAGTAGGATTATACACTTCGCATGTTTTACTTGTCAACTGCGTAGTTATATAATACTATACGATACCTAGGCCTGAGCTTAGATATATGGACGGCTGGGTGATCTGTGGAGTGGGGAGAGGGAGGTTGATTATGTGCATAGCTTCGTAGCTAGCGTTTAAGCGATTGTTTACATCAGAAGCTAAGCTCCGAGCTTAATTGAAACCTTACTATTAGCGCTACTATTTTTATTTTCTCCTTTTCGTCAAATTTTGAAGGGCATTCTCGCAGCTTTTTATGTGTATTATTATAGACTAAGTGATGCGCCATACAATATTATCAGCCTGACCGTGATGTCCTGATGGTGGCTTTGTGACGCTGAAGACTCGGGTTAGGGGTGATTTGTTAACAGGTAGTGCGGCCCGGACCGTTGGATCTGATACTAACCCCTCGATATGGTGGCGCTCGCGGAGATGGCCTCTGGCGTCAGTTAAATCGAGATTTATGGACGCGCCGATTTGACAAGCGGTCAACGCATAGAGATATCATAGGTAATAGGTGTTGGGCTGGCGCTCAACGAGTAATTCGAAATCGCGTATCTGGCGAGGGGACAGCCAAGACATCATCGACTACGAGTTCTACCTAGTGTACGCGTTAGGCCGAACTACCTAAAGGAATAACATCTATAATAGCGCAATTATCGACTGCCAATAACTACTATTAAAATTTAATATATTGGCTACATTAAGTACCAAAGATATTATTAGTAAAACAGATTGTTATTACCTGTTGGAGTTAAATCCAATGCAGTGTATTTACTGCGGAGGTAATCTGTAGCTCCCTTGTTTTTCCGACAGAACCTTGACCTTCTTCTAGTAAACTAGACGTAGATGTGGATATCCTGCTCGTGTAACGCAGTGGTAGCGTGTTGCTCTTATATGTGTTTCAGCAATGAAACTTGTATGATAGGAAATGCAAAGGCCGTGAGTTCGATCCTCACCTCGAGCACCATCTTTTTTTTAATCTTGAAACTGTATTCTCTACGTCTATTTTTAATTATTTTCCTTTTCCAACTATTTTATTTTATTTTATTAATATTCTAGTAGACTAGATGTATTCTTAAAAGATCCATAATTGAAACTAAACATTACATTACTGCTACTCATTCATCTATATAGGTATTTCAATGCAGGTACAGATCAAACGTAAACTATCAAGCCTGCCCATGATCAATGACACACGCCCGTAAATCACGAGCTAATTCGTCCACAAGCTCAGCGTTTACGATGCCATCCTGCCAGCTAACAGTCACGTAAATCCCATGTCCGGTGACTCCGGCAACATTGACAGACATGGCGGCACTGGTGGCATTTCCACCCTGCGTGAAGATAGCGCGATCAATGAGCCATCGCCGCCCTTCTCCCACGCCCTTCTCGCCTCCCATCTGCAAACTGTCATCGGGTTTGGAGGCGATAGCTCCAGCATCGACAGCGCTGAGGCTGCCTAGGTTCGACATCTCCCAGGTGCTCTCCCTCGCCTTGCCAAACTTGACGCGGAAGAAAGCGTGCCAGTCCCCGATGAGCCCAGACAGGCCCAGGATGTCGTCGCGAGGCAGCGAGGCGACCTTGGCGCGCAGCTGGGCCGTCATGTCCCGCGCGAAGCCCCAGACCGTTGCATCATCATCATCATCACCCTCATCACCGCCATCGTCACATGCTCGTGCCTCTCCCGCGCCTTCGTCCCGCCGCCGCAGCTGCTGAACGGCATCAACACCGTGAGCGCAGGAGAGGCTCGTGACGAGGCAGTGGATCGTCTCGCCGGCCGTGAACGCGCCAGCGCCCGCGACCGCGCTATCCGCGTGGCTCGCGAGCGCGATGATCGTGATGGAGCGGAACGACCTGCCCTCCACGAGCCGCGCCAGCGAGCGCGCGACCAGCCCGTTTAGCAGGCCCGTCAGACTCGCCCCGTGGGCGCGACACCGCGCCAGGATGCGCTGCAGCTGCGCCTCGTCGGCCGCGAAGAGCGTGCGGAGGTGCATTTTCGGGTTCGACCCGTCGACCGGCGCCCCCGTCCACGGGACGTCTGCCGCGCTCGGCTCGAGGCGCAGCAGACGTCTAAATAATGGCGGCACGAACACCGGATACAGGAGCTCCGTCCAGACAGTGCGCAGGACGAAGGCCCAGGACAGGGTGAAGGGGATGAGCGTCTCCATGGCGGGCGGGAGCGCCGGGGGTGTCGGCAGGTGGAGGGTGTGGTCCTGCAGCTCGGGGGGGCGCGCGCCGCTGTTCAGCGCGCGTTGCAGGTCGCCGTGGAAGATGTATGCGCCTCGCCCGTCTGAGTACGCGTGGTGGAAGCAAAAGGATATGTCGAGGGATAGCAGCATGTCGTTCTCTCGCGACTGGAGCCCGCTGAGCTGTCGCGGGTCGTGGCGCACCACGATTTTCCAGCCCGGCTTGCTCGCGAGATCTTCCCAGAGCGCCTCGTGGTGTTTCTTGAGGGAGCGTAGCAGGTCGTCGTCGCAGTGCGCCTCGTCTTGCTCCTTTTTACTTCTGCCATCGCCCCCCGCTTCGGTCTGTTTGTCGGGTGCGGAAACTGGCATTGTGGTTTTCTCCCACTCGATCATGCGGTCCATGTCGATTGTCTTGAGGTGTACGAAGGCGGGCTCCTTGGTGTCTTCGCCCGCGATACCGACGCGTAGTATCGCTTGTCCGAGAACTACGGTAGCCAGCGCATTCTCGATTGCGTCTTGGAGGGAGAAAGATTGCTGCCGCAGATGCGCGGTCGATACACTGTACCGACATGTCACGATCACTGCACGTAGAATGCCCAAACTGTTCCGGGCGGTGTGGTATTTGGCTCTACCCGCGGTTATAAGTTAGCTGTGATAAGTGACTGAGGCGAAGTGAAGCATGAAAAAGGAGGTCGATCGGTAGCTTACTGTGAGCCTACAGGCCGCACGACGTTGTTAATTGATGCCATTCTTTATATATATAAACGTAAGAAGTGCACAAATCGCGTAATCAATTCATCGCTTTTTCGTTCAATTAATTGATAGTCTCACTACTAGAGCTATTGATATAAAAATCATTTTACATAGCAAGATGGTTGACGTGCCAGTACCTAGGCTCTCCTATTGACATTTTCTTGCTGCCTATTCTATTCCTTTAAATGCCTTTTCAACTCTTCCGATCCCTCACATTACCTTTGATAAGATAAGTGACATCACTATACACCAGCAATTTTACTACTTATTTTTAACACTTCCACATTAATCTATTAAAACAATAACTACAGTTAAAATAAGTACATTAATTAAAAGTACCAAATTTTTTTTTTAAATTTTTTTTTTTTTTTTGCGTTAAAACAGTGCTTTGCGACTGTGCGAAAACGGAAGTAGATTACAGCACGTTAGCAATATGATGTAGGTCGCGTTTATTATTTCTCCTTAGTGGAGCTTCTACCTGTGTAGTAGAAGGGCTATCTACGTGTCTCGAGGTAGGATCCTTGCTTGGGGATGCATCTTTGCTACGTTGGACATATAAACAGACTCGAAAAGCCATGGATGGAATATTTAGATAAAAGCCTTTGGTGTATTTGAATTCTCAATCGTGAAATCACGATACGTAGGACTTAGGCCATATAGTCGATTGTACTCCTTGCCCCCTGGTATTGTATAGAGCTTGCGCCCCCCTGTGACCGCTAGACTAGATAGGTAGAGTTAACCCCAGTTTTCGAACCCACAACCCCGGAGTCCGCGGGCCAAGCATCATAGGATCCAAAACACACATACAACATACGTATCCTACGCCGAACTCCAAATCCGCATCGAAGAGAATTGTCATGCGCTGACATGTATGCCGGTTATCGGGTTCGCTACGGCCAGCGTGAGTATCAGTGGCCCCCCTCCCCTCCCCTCTACCACACTTGTTATTTTTACGCGACAATTCGTTGGTAGGTTTACGGTTTACCGCTCAGTGCTGCGGGTGGTACGCGGGCTGCGGCGGCGGCATCTGCATGCCGTGCTGCACTTGATAACCTTGCATGTTGGGCTGCGACTTTTGTCGGATTTTGACCTCGTTGTCTTGCTGTATAAGCGCGGAGCATGTGCACCAGAACGACACGCAGCAGTCGTCGCACCCGTTGCCCTTGATGCCGTACCGTTCGCGGATCTCGCCGCGCTTTACCATGGCGTAGCTGTGTCACATAAGTCAGCCGGACCATCTTCACAGAGAGGTCACTCGAAAGTAGTAAGGTAACGTACATCCAGCCACAACCGGTGAAACTAGTAATGGCGCCGTAGATGAGACAGTCTGAGTTCAACATGTCGGCACTCTGCATCGAGGGGTCGCGAATCCGCTCTGAGGTCTGTCCCAAAAGGATACAGGGCAGACACCATGCTAGCAGACATGAAGTACAAGGCCCGCAACTGCAAATCCCAGTTTGCCACTCATTCTGGTCCTTCTCTAGGTGGTGCTCGTGGGGCTGGTGGTTCGCCTCCATGGCTGTTGGTTGTATGTAAGGCTGTTGCTGGTTATGCAACATTGGGGCTTGACCGTGTACGCCTTGCTCTGAACCGTACTTCTCCATCATTGCCATTCAAAAGGACCAGGAGGGTGTCGGTTGTGTCAATTCGTCTGGGCCGAGGTTAAGTAGCTGTGGTTGGTACCAGAGAAGCGGGTTCAAGAACACACGACGAAAGAAAGAATGTCACAATAGAGTGCTAGTTAAAGTACCAAGGTCAGGGGCCAGTGGTCGTATTAAGAGAGCGTCGCAGACCGAAAGATGCACGAGATGTGGGAACAGACTGAGATGAAATACCTTGGTCTTACGCACGTGCGACATAGACATAGTAGCAGTGGCTTTTCATGTTGGTCGATCTTGCTGTCAACGCCAGCCAGCCAGGCTATGTAGGTACCTGCATCACAGCCTTCTGGCGCCATCTTCATTTCTCACGTCGACCCAGTGTACTGCGTACTTGGCTTCCCACAGTATTCTGTACCTCGAAAGTCTATTAGTACCTTGCACATCTTGTTACAATAACGCCAGTTAGATAATGTGTTTCTTGGGATTACCTCACTGCTAGCACTTACTTACTTAGGTAGTTTATGGTTTAAGTGAGGTTTGTTTGTAAAGGGTCCCGTTGTCCCGCGCCGTCTGCCTGCAGGACAATAGGATGCAGCAGGCGGCGAATCAAAATGCTCCTCGAACATAGAAATTATGTACTTACCCCCAACATGAAACCTATTCTAGGCGTATTCTAGTTATTAAAAAGTTCCTAACGTATGTGAACCCAACCAATGTGCAGAGGGTTGAATTTCTAGTGTACCATGTCTGTAGTATTGCGCCTCCACCGAGGAGGAGCTGGACTGAAACACCCAGAATGGACGAATGGAACTTCAAGTACCTGCATTACCTACCTTCAATGACTATAATAGATGGACCATGTAGGTGATCCCTTACATTACACAATTCACATGATCAATTAAATTAAACTAAATCTGCAACATTATACTGAGCAGTGGTGAGTTCCTCGCCTATATACTATTCTCATTAAAGCTCTCCCTGCTTAAGTATTAGAATGAGGTGGCGTGGTACTATGCTTATTGAGGGTGGTATTTGGGTAGTATTATAAGATTATATGAAGAGAGAAAAATACAGACAAGGGTTTAGCTTCAAACTAGAAACAACCTACCTAACTAATGCATAGTGTATGTTGGTTACAGTGCGGGCTGACGCCAGCATTCTAGGGCGGTATGCGGTTGCCTAGTTCCTCATATCATAGCCTAGGCTATTATTAGTAATTTCATGGTACTCTCTACTTGTCTCAAATCACACCAGTGAGAATCTGATTGATAGCATATAATTGGCAGGAGAGTAAGTGGCTCACAGATACTATCATCTACTATCCACATAATAGTATGCCCTTACAACTTCCCTACCTAGTCCATCTATTATGAGATCGACTAAATAAATACAAAATATCATCACAATACAACGCGTCTAGCCTA